TCATATATTGCTGAATGTAATAGAATGTTTCTCTCTCTCTCTCTCTCTCTCTCTCTCTCTCTCTCTTGCATTTAAATACAAATGTCCTAACTGCCATCTACTTTAAGAATATTAAAGGCTATACATTACACTTAAAGATATAATACAGTCATCTCCTTCCCCGTGGCTTAAATTTAGTTACTGAATTATATAACATAAAATAATTAAAAAGATACTTTGATAGTGATACACAGTATAGATTCAATTACCACAATGTATCCATTAAAGGTACTTTTTATAGTATGAATAAAATACAAATCCTCTTTATGGATCAATACCAGAACATAATTCTATTCTTCCTCCTAAAAACGGAAGTTAACCATTATAAATCATCTTCACATGAAAATGGTAAAAAGGTATTCCTTTGAAAGTGTTCTGTTAATCTCAATATATTAAGAATGTTACTTTCTCTATTATGCTCATTTTTAAACTGTACTAAAATTCTAATAACATTTGATAACTGATTAACAGAAAACTTAGGAATCATTCTTTTTCATATTTATATAAATGCCTGACATTAAATTCAGAGGGACATTTCCATTAACTAAATAATATTTTCTAAATAAAATCAAGAACACACCAAAAAAAATGTTCCTAGGGATTCTGAGTAAATATTACTACTTGGCCTAACTTTTGCCTGGCTGGGCACCCTGGGACAAGTTCCTATGATTGATTATTGTGGTATCTCTGAATCTTTGACTTTGAACCATAACCTTTTTTGCGAACAGTGACAGTTGGGACCTACCATTTGCCATCTGTAGAGATGGAGGGAGGAAAAGGACTTCACGTACATTAATCAACCAATTAAGAACAGACTTAAACAAAACACTAAAGCATAATAAACCCCTGACTGCTTAATAGCTTTCTACTTTTAATAGTTGTCTTCCTGCAGTCTGCTCACAAGATTAGGAGTAATCTGTTCAAGTCTTAACAAAAATTGCATGAGGAAAAGGGAAAAAAGTAAACCAATCCAAACCATGAATTTTAAATTGTAAAAAATGATACTTAAGGATTCTATAGTTCAAATCAAAACTTAAGAGGCTGACTGCACACCACAGTATCAAAGAATCTCACATCCATACAAAATATGGCCATTGTCTTTACTAGAATATCTAAAATGATTAGTACATACAAATAAGCCTATTATTTTGAAATATTAGATAACTGCATTCTTTAAAACACCACTCACCAAATAATTTATACTATCTTTGTGCACATGAAGTAATTTGCCAGGAGAATTTGAGGATTCAACCATTATAACATAAAGCAAATCCAGTAACAAAATTTGAGGAAAAATTAACAAAAATGAGGTAAGTTTTTGACCTTTCTCTGATTAAAATATGATCAGCAAATGTAGTATTTAAATATTAAGGCATTAACTCAGTCTCTTTTGTAAATAAAAAAAAAATAGGAAACCAAGGGATGAAAGTCAAGGATGCCCAATACTCACAGGTTAATTCAACACTGAATTAATTGGCCAGTGCAGTAAGAAGTGTACGAAGGATAAAAGCATAAGACTGGAATAGCAGAAATGAAAGTGCTATTGTTTGTACTTGATATGATAATCTACACAGTAAACACAAATTAATTTACAAATTACTGGCTGAAAACGTAAATATAACGGGATGTGAAATTAGTGTACAAAAATTAACTGTATTTCTATACTAGAAACACACTGGTAGAAAATATTCTTTTAAAAACACAATTTTCAAAAGCAGCTTCACAAAAAAATTCTCAAGACCTGAGTAAAAAGGAATTCAATCAATTGAAAGATAACATCTAAATAAACAGACATACCATGTTCATAGATGTACTAAGATCTGATAGTAAAAAGATAATTCATCTGTAGATTCTATACATTTCTAAACAAAATCCACTTTTTATGAAACTTGAAAAAAATTATTCTATCACCTCATACCTGTCAGAATTACTATTATCAAAAAGACAAGAAATAACTAGTGTTGGCATGGATGTGAAGAAAAGGGAACCTTTATGCACTGTTGGTGGGAATGTAAATTGGTATAGCCGCTATGGAAAAAAATTAAAAATAGAACGACAATGTGATCCAGCAATTCGACTTCTGGGTATTTATCTGAAGAAAACAAAAATATTTGCTGGAAAAGATACTAGCATATTCACCCTCATGTTTATTGCATCATTATTTATAATAGCCAAGATATGGAATCAACCAATAACTTGATTTCTATCAATGGATAAATGGATAAAGAAATTGTGGCATATACACCCACATGAGTATTTGGGCATAAAAAGAATGAAGTCCTGCCATTTGTGACAACATGGATGGACCTTGAGGGTATTATGGAAAATGAAATAAGTCAGACAGAGAAAGACAAATACCGTATGATTTCTCTTGTATGTGGAATTTTTTAAAAAAGGGGGTCATGGATATAGAAACTGGTGGTTGCCAGAGGCAGGGGTGAAGGGGCAGTGAGAAATGAGTGAAGTGTGTCAATGGGAAAAAGAAAAAAAAAAGAAATTCAATAATAAAAGCTTGTTTGAAACCATAGCTCTGTAGCCTACCTTGATGAATATAAAATAATATTTAAAAAAGAGAAAAAAGCTTTGAAAATAAAGTGAATTCTATATGTAGAATTAAATATAAATAGCATATACTGTATATGAAATAGTAAAGAGACAAGAATAACTAAAACACTCCTCAATAAAGGTAGGAAGGATTTGCCTTATCAGATATCCTAAGTAACTATAAGTGCTTAAAGAGTGACACAACATAGTGTTGGTATGGGGTAGATAAACTGATTATTGGAACACAGCAGAGAGCCCAGAAGCAGATACATACAAATATGAAAACTTAATAAACAAAAGAGGTAGCCTGGAAGATTATTTGGAGGACTAGAGAAACTATTCAATAAATGATGGAGTGAAAACTATCATTCACAAAGAAAAAACAAAATTGGACCTCTCCTTCATACCATACACAAAAATAAATTCCAACTGGAATACAGACTTAAATGGGAGATGAGCATTTAAAGATGTGTAAAAAATACCATGTATTCCTAACAGAGCAAAGAAGGGTATTTTAAATAAGACAAAAGCACTAACCATAAAGAAAAAGGATTAATAAAGTTTACTATATTAAAATTATTTTTGTTCATCAAAGATATCTTAAAGCAATTAAAAGACTAGCCACGACCTATGAAAAGATATTTGAAAACATATAATGCAAATGAGAATTCAAGAGACAGAAAGAATTCCTAACAAACCAACAAGAAAAAGTCAAGCAACAAAATAGAATACATAATAAAAAGACATGAGTATTTATTTCACAGAAAAGGAAAGATATAGAAAAGATGTTTAATCTCATTATTAATCAAATGAATAATGCAAATTAAGACCACAATGAAATATCACTTTATAGCCACCAGGTTGGCAAAAAGTAAAAATTTGGCAATAGTAAATATTAGAAAAGACATATATCAACATGAATCTTTTGTACACTGCTACTGCTAGTGAGAGTGAAAAATAGGTACAACTATTTTTAAAATAAAATAATATTATTGTGGGTTTTTTTAAAATGTAACATTTGCCTGGCTGGTGTGGCTCAGTGGTTGAGCAACAACCCATGTACCAAGAGGTCGCAGGTTCGATTTCTGGCCAGCGCACAGGCTCCATCCCCAGTAGAGGGCGTGTAGGAGGCAGCTGATCAATGTTTCCCTCTCACTGATGTTTCTATCTCTCTCCCTCTGCCTTCCTCTCTAAAAATCAATAAAAAATAAATTAAAAACAAAAAAATGTAACATTTACACACTCTGTTAATCAACAATTCCACTCTTAGTACATGCCCTAAAGAAATTCTTACACACATGCTCCAGATGACATGTTACTATTCATAAGACTTGCTGGTGGCAAGAAACTAGAAACATCGAACGTTAGTATATTATACAAGAAGAATAAATTACAGTACATGCAGAAATATTAGAAACATTGAGTGAAAATCAATTTTAAGAAGCATATATGTATGTATGTGTGTATGTATATAAAAGTTTTATAAAACTTAAGCAAAACTGAACAGTATATTTAGTACACATATACGTCATGAAAACACGTCTTTTATATGAGTGTAATGATGAACACAATGCTGAGGATAATCGGTAATATTTCCAAGGAACATAGAAGTAAATGCAAAATACTGGAGATGTTCTCTTTCTCAGGTGGGGAGACAGGTCCCAGGTCTGCACTTCATTATTATGCATTATAACTTACATATATTCTTATATTGAAAAATAAATGAAAAAGAAATAAGAAATCAAACCAGCAATATTTACTAAAACAAAATGATCTTTCACAATATCCTAAAACCTTTTCAGCAACAGGCCTGAAATGGTTTAAAAGAAATACATGTGATTCTCTAGTTTGAATTATTTTATTAATGTAGTCCCATTTTCCCCAAGAAAATATATGAATAGTTAAATTAGGGGGGGGGGATCTTCATTCTTTTTTACTTGACTGATGTGAATTATTTTCATTTTAAATCCAATCTCAATTCCCCATGCAAACAGGGGGATGCAGCCATATAGGAGGTAGTAACTCCAGTATGGACAAATCCAAACAGCCGATAATCCATATTTCTGTTTGACTTAAAATGTATCATTCAGTCTTTTAACATTCCATTCCATTATGCTTGGTTTCAAAGAAACTTCTATTCTTGGGAGGGGGCTGAAACAGGATGATCCAGGTTTGTTGTAAATAGCTGGTAGTAATACATACATACACACACATCATATCATATACCATATGCCACATATCACATACAGATGAGAGGAGATCAACAAGGTGGGAATTTTTTGGTCTGACAGAGGGGTGTGATTTTTTTGGTCTGATAGATGAGTGCAAACCTTCCTTTCAATGATAATATTCACTATCTGGTTATAGGACTGAGTTTCTATGAATAATTTCCAAAAGAAATTTTTTAAAAGCCTGACTAAACCTGAGTGGCATGCATTACTCCAAGATGAACTTAACTGAATTGAGAAGCCTCTTATCTCATCACAAGCCCAGTCAGCATTTCACTACATCCGTTTTGGTAGGTAGACTGATGCACTACTCTTCAAAAAGGTGTTCTACTTCAGAATGCCTTCGTAGGTGTGCTGTATTGAGAAACTGAAACAGCGATATCTGTCCATCCACACTTCAACAGGATGAAGGTGATCATCTTCTCTCAGACACAAAAAATATAATCAGAGAATTAAGTAATAATTAAGTGAGGTAGGATTTCACTGATAAGCATTATAGTGGCTGCTATAAAGTTACTCTGTACCAGTCAAGATCTCTCCACTACACACCATCTAAACACACACTCCTCACCACCTGAGAGGTGTTCGACCAGCCACACCAAGCAGGAACAATGAACACTCTGAGAAGGGCCATGAATTCATTGCGATAGCATTAACTACATTATAAAATTAGAAAATAACCATTTTTCACAAGATGCTATAATTTCAGTAATTAAATATCTCTTTTAGAGATTGATAATACTCTAAGGGAGAGCAAAATTAGAGTGTTTCCTAATTCAAGTTCTTAATAAACATAATCGTAGTATAATTTTAAGAAAGAAAAAAAATAGAGATATTTACCTCTTCGATACCTGACTAGTGTTTTTGTCAAACATAGTTTGAGTTATTGAATGAAAATTTACAACATCTGAACAGGTATTTCTCCTTCCCAAAATTCTTATTACCTAATAAGCAATTAGCCATACATTGATCTTGACCTAAATCTTACACTTCAGAAATAAAAATGAAAGGAATTTCAAGAAGGTATTTAAGAAAATGCAAGTTTCCTATTAGTATTAACAGAACAGTGGTTCTCAACCTTCCTAATGCCGCGACCCTTTAATACAGTTCCTCATGTTGTGGTGACCCCCAACCATAAAATTACTTTCGTTGCTACTTCGTAACTGTAATTTTGCTACTGTTATGAATCATAATATAAATATCTGATATGCAGGATGTATTTTCATTGTTACAAACTGAACATAATTAAAGCATAGTGATTAATCACAAAAACAATATGTGTTTTCCGATGGTTTTAGGCGACCCCTGTAAAGGGTCGTTCGACCCCCAAAGGGGTCGCGACCCACAGGTTGAGAACCGCTGAGTTAGAAGATGCCCTGATCCTAGGAAGCACACTGGGATAGCCCGTGCTTTCTACCACCTTGCAAAATCAGGCTGGCACACTATCTTCTTTGCAGCTTTGAGATTCAATTAGAATGTAAGTGAAAAAAATTGTATTCTAGTTTTCATTCCCTACTGGAATCTTTTTGGTGACTGCTCACTAAAGAAGAAGGGCAAAATTTCATCCCGTTCAGCATTCTATGAAGCACAAAAGAAGATTTTTCACATCTTTTTAAAGCAAATTAATTTTCAAATTTACAAGTTGTTGTTTCTCATTATGTACTTTTAAGGTTTTGGCAAAAAAAAAAAAAAAAAGGAGAGAGAGAGAGAGAGAGAGAGAAGATTTTCTGTTAAATGCTGCCATTATCCCTTGCTGGAACCAGTAGGAGCTTTTAGATATGAAAATCGGTCCAGAAGGAAACACTTTATGGGGAAATCTGCAGTGGCACAGTTCTGATAATGAACATGCCTAGAGAAATAAAATCATGCATGCTGTACGTGTTGGGGGGAAGAAACTCTTATCTTCAGTTGGGTTCTGTTTCCCTTAGAGAGGCTTATGTTACCTACAATCAATAGGTCTCCAATTAAACAAAGAAGATTTACATATGCGGGTGCATTTTGAAGCTAATGAAATTGGCCTAACAGTTTTGATGTGAGAAAAGCATTGGATAGGAGGGGAACTTCAGTAGTTTACCATATATAATTGGGCCCAAGTCCTCAATTCTGATTTCTAACTTTTCTACTACTACTGCCTGTGGCCTTCCCCAACTTGGGCTAAGTAACTATGCCAAAATACACCTGATTCAGGGAAGAGAGACAGACAAAACTTTAAATGCTCTCTAGAGATAAGGATACGACTGACATTTTCCCTTTGGAGGAAGAGAGCATGTGATCCAACCCCGCCTCCCCCAACACCACCACCACAACCAAAGTGTGTCTATCCTAAGGAGAGGACTACATCTTTAATCAAGATTATGCTCTTTAAAAATTCAACAGCATGAAATTAAATCCCTTTGTCTCCCCTCTAGCTGGGTACCTAGCACATAGTAGGTACTTGAGAAATGACTGTTGTTATAAAGATGATTTTCTTACATAAGCTGAAGCAATGGTTATATTTCCCTATCATTATTATGAGGTAAACAGTTCAAATAAAAGTCAAGACCAGGATCTTAGATGAAAAAACAAATAGCCTGACAGTTTTCTATAGATAAGTCTGGCATCACCAAACCTTTATTTTCAAAATTATAATTATTCACATATAAATAACTCCTTTAGGTTAATATGCCACTTTGGATGTTGGTGAAGAAACAGAAATCAGTTAACATAATAGGGTGAGAAGGGAAAAATCATTCTCACACAAAAAGTTTAGGCTTAAATTCAGTCCTAAGGTGAACACCCAAAAACTATATAATGTTACCTAGTTTTAAAATTCAGATTATCAGCTTCCCACTTTTTTTTTTTGTTTTGTTCAACCCATATTCTCCACTTAGTCCCCAGCTCAACAAAAATATTAGCAGGCTCTATGCAAACCTATGGGGAGGTACACAAAAAAACTAATGCATTCCAGCCCCTGCTCATAAAGAAATCACAGTCCAATTTGGAAGACAGATTATTTTATGAAACAAGAAGTGCTAACGGTGAGTACTGATATAGTGCTACCAGGATTCTATGGGAATGTAGGCAAAGAGCCCTGAAATGCTGGGGTGAAAAGAAGGCTTAAGTAATATTAGCCAATTAAAGGTGGGTGAGGACATTCCAAGTAGAAGAAATAATACAAAAAATAAAAAGAGAGAGAGAGAGAGAAAATACACACACACACACACACACACACACACACACACACATATTACGATACAAAGTGTGGATAGAGTCTCATGGGAGACAGGTAGGAAAACAAGGTGCCTCTGTATGTTCCATGCACTAAAATTTTCACTTGTATCTTTGCATGTGCTCTCTTCAGTTTCAGGGTTAGTTGTGTTAACTGGTTAACTCAATCCAGAAAGACAACTCAATCACTTTAATTATCCCACATTTTTCTACAACTTTCCCTTGTTTAAATATTGTATCTATTTTTTAAATATATTTTTATTGATTTTAGAGATGAAAGGGAAGAGAGAGAGAAACATCAATGATGAAAGAGAATCGCTGATAGGCTGCTTCTTGCACGCTCCACACTGGGAATTGAACCCACCACCAGGCATGTGCTCCGACCAGGAATCAAACCATGACCTCCTGGTTCACAGGTCAACACTCAACCATTGAGCCACACCAGCTGGGCTGTGTCTATTCTCTTGATTAAAAATAAGAAGATTCAATAAAGTATAGCACTGTGAAAGGGGTCTCACCAGAAGCATGAGACATTCCCCAGCACTAATTCCTCAAGTCCTGAACCCCACTCAGACTTTAGCTCCTACCTCCAAAAGCTCGAGGGTCGAAGGCCTGATATGTTCGTTTACTGAAACATCACCCTGATGGGAGTCTGTAACGAGGGATTCATTCCAAAGTTAAAGACAAGCAATCCTTTCTCCACATGTTGGACAATGAGAATACACTATAAAAATATCCTTCTAAGAGATACATTAGAAAACAGAAAATGGGGTTACATTGCAGATCCATAATTCTAATCTAAATATACATAATTTTAAAAGATAAAACATTAACACTGTTTATCATGTTGTTTTATTCTTACTAATTGAAAAAATGCGAGATTAAAGAAAACATAGTAAGGCCACATATGTAAAAATGCTATTCAAGATTATAAGAAAATAAGCTGTGTAGAGTGGTGGGGGTAATGAGAGCGGGAAATTAGTAGTAAAAACAGAGAGATTTTCAAACTTTTAAAACTTTCATTGGCTGTAAATAATACACTCTTAAAATAAAGGAAATATCGATATTGTTAAAATCATCAGGTGAATTTAGGTATTTGTATCCATGTGGCTTATTTAATCTGAAGACAACACAGTTTTCCCTGGAGAAACTGAACTGCTAACGTCCCATGAACTTGATCAAGTTCGCCTCACTTCTCTTCCTGAGTGTAAAACAAAGAAATCTGTCTTGAGTTTCATGATGTCGCACATGTCACTGTGACTCATCCCCAGCCATTTTTATTTACAGCGTTCAGATGAGTTTCTATGACAATCCCATGCCATTCTCAATGTTACACACGCATCTTCTGCCTTTTGAAAAATAATTACAGAACAAATCATTTGTTTTAGTCTCTATACAAAGAAAAGCTCACATATTTAATGGCTGGAGAAAATAGACTTCACTTTCAGATTAAACAACAAGCAGACATAACAGAATAAAAAAAAAATCCAATATCCACTGTGTGGGACCACCAGATTGTTGTTGTTGTTTGTATTTCATTTATCAGACATGCAAAAGTTCTTCTCTTTCCCATCACCATCTGTACACACTTTCCCCCAAAGACCTTCACACCTGTCCCATTAACACACAAGCACACACTCACACATACAGGACCTCTTCTATGCTTTCTGTCTGAATGCATATTCGTATCTGTTTTCTTTTAACAACAGAAAATAAGGCAAAGCAGCTTGAGACCTTGGACAATTTAAATCCACTTCAGTATAAAAGTCTCAGGATTGCTAACTTTCTCTGGAGATGCAGCAAAAGCAGAGAATGTAGGTTATACCACTGGGACTTGACTGTTTTAGGAACTACTACCAACTGCCAAATGAATTCACACGGCTGGCTCTCCCAGGCCTTCCTCTCCTTGCTGTTTTTCATTCCTCATTCTCCTGCTGTTTAGTTTTCCTATGACTCTGTTTTATACTTCAGTATTACTAGAAAGATGTTCTTTAAAAAAATAGAACTTTTTTTTTTTTACCCACCAGTTTTCTTTAGAGAAAACATGCTACAGTGAACTATCAAATAATAGAAACCACCTGTGCCCTCTCCTGTGTCTGCTTGGATTTTTCTTTCCACTCACACAGATATATTTGACATAAGAAAACAAAAAAATTTAACACTGAGGAGAAGTATCATCAAATGATAGAATTCCTCAACATACACCAATTGCACAGCAATATAAACAACTGGTTCTATGAATTATTAAAAACTCACACAGGCTAGTGATTGGAAGAATTCTAATTTTAAAACGTGAAAAGCTTTGAAGTCTTAATTTCTTTTATTTTAATCCTTACCTGAGAATACTTTTCTATCTATCTATCTATTTATTTATTTATTTTTAGAAAGAGAGGGAGGGAGGGAGGGAGGGAGGGAGGGAATTATCAATGTGAGGGGCACATTGATTGGTTGCCTCCTGCATGCGCCCTGACCAGGGCAGGGGATTAAGACTGCAACTGAGGTATGTGCCCTTGACCAGAATCAAACCCGGGACCCTTCGCTCTGAGGGCTGACACTCTATACACTGAGACAAACCAGCCAAGGCTGAAGTCTTAATTTCTGAGGAAATTACATCTAAGATGGCATCAACTCATTTCATCACATTTTCTTTAGCTTTGTATAACTGGCACCTAGCACATAGTGCCTTAAGTGCTCAAAACATGTTTGCTGAATGGAGTTGCCAATGACAGGGTAGACTTTGTCAATAAAGGCAACTAAAATAGCTCTTCTATGCCAACACCAAACAAAAAGCATCCACCTTGATGCAAACAATAACAGGCTACCACTGCTCTCCAATGTATGCAAGGATTTTCTATCTCTAGAGCTGCTGGGATGTGTG